AAATTAACAAACTGACGTCAGGACATAAGTCACCGCGTTTCCCTTGGGACCGCTTCTTTATAATACTTTCCAAATGTATTGTAAATTTCTGACATACATACAAAAAATACTTTCTTTGGATAATTATAAATTTAAATATAATCAGGATACAATATATTCAATTTAAAAAAAAAATTGATAAGGAGGAAAAGAAACATTTTAAGCATTTCCAAAAATGTTTATTTAAAACAAAGGAAATTATGAGAAAGTATGTTTCCAGAAACTTGATTCAAATTCGCATTTATGAAAGCCAAGCGTCCATAATACACTCATATTCCATTTATTTTTCAAAATTATTCAGGTGTTTCTACAATTGTGAAAACAAAAAATGTTGTCCAGAGGCATCAGTTTTCAGAATTTCCTTAAGATATGATAACAGATTTGATTTGGAGAAAGGCAATTCACACCATAATATCGTCATTTGTGAACTTGACAGGAAGAAGTAATAAAACCGAAACAAAATATTTTAAAACAGGTGTGACTAATGATCAAGTCAAAGTGATTTTCTATCAATTCATTAAGTCACATCTCAAAATTATGCTAAAAAATGATCATTAATGTGAAAATTTATTCAAATTTAATGAAATTGCTAATATTGGTAAGTTTAAATTTTCAAACATTGATTATCCAAATAACTTTTTAGTTCTGAAATATTTTTAAAATAGTATCAAGATTTTAAGTGTAAACTCGCAACTTTACACTTACAGTAAACGGTATTATTGTATTTTTGGATCTTTCTAGTTTTGCCAATTATTTGAAATTTTTGCAACGAATTTATCAAACTTGATTGAAGTTTTAGACCAAAGAACAGAAATTCAAACTGATTTTTATAAACATTATTTCATATGTCCGAAGTTTTCATACCGAAAATTTTTTTTTATATAAACAATAGTTTGAATCTATTTTTTTTTGTTAGAGTTAGAAATAACTTTTTCATTCTTTTTTATATAACAGGATGTTTTGTTTTTACCAAGCCCATTTAAAAATACTTGTTTTCTCTGAAGTAATGTGAGCATTAATTTTCAAAACAGGATATGTTGAATTGAATATGAGAAAATATTTTGGATTAGTCATTTTTTTTTAAATGTCAAAGTTAGCTAAAAACTCATCCTTTAAAAATCTGCACGAGTTTCATTTCCTACTGAATAGAATTTAGGTTAAAAATCTAATTTAGTTCGGTCGATATTATTACGTAAAAAATAGTTTCTGGCTGGGAATTTGTTTTGTTGACATTAAAACATGATTTATCTATGGTTTTATAATTTCATACCTTATGTCAACAATAACACTGATGACAAACAAAACGATTTGAAATCCCATCTAACCAACAACGATTGTCGCGTAATTAAAACGGTAAAATTCCGAAGAGAAATAGAAGAAAGAAAGCAGAAAAGAAAAGAACCAAATGAAGATAAAGAACTTAAAAGACGACAACCGTAATAAACTGTGATAGACGGGAATAACAACGAGATGGCTGCATAAGAAGAGGTCAATGGGTAAATTATCGATCGATCAAGCAAGACGATTTTAAAAATGCAACCACTGCACTTGCTGTGCACATATTTTCGGATTTATTTCTTGCATTAAACATCGTCACATGATTCTGTAGCCAACCAAAAGTGCGAGATTTTAATGAATGAATGAAAAATTCGCCCAAGAAAAAAAAAAGAAGACAAACACCTGTCAATTCTCAACGAGAACTAGATCTGATAATTGCTTCTTGTTTTTAAATAGGCGAACCAGTTTATTTTTGTTTAAAACAACAATAAAAAAAAAAAAACTTTGCAAATTGATTCAGCACCCTCTACACAGCTTTCTTTAGCCATCAAATATCGAACTGTCGAGCAATCTGCAGTGAGTTGTTTATGCATTGTGTGCCAAGGCAAAGTAGAAAAATACTACATAAAATACAAGTGCTGAGTCATCAAGCAATGGCCGTGTCAGTCAGTGCATGCTGAATCATCATTTTGCAGCCAACTCCCCAAAATAATAGCAGTACTACTGCTACACTGCTTATCAAGTCTCTATCTCGTTTCTCGCACCTTTCATCCCTTCTACCACCCGTTACTTATAGATAAGTAGAAGCTTATGTAATTTGTAAGTAGTAGTGACAGTGTACTGTAGTTGCAGATATTAATACTGGGGAGGAGTATCTGCTTTTTAATGCCTGGTAAATTTGAAAAGATACCTCACGAGTTGAGAATTATTAGGTATCATCCACTGGTGGTATTTTTATGACGATGAAATAAACAAATAATGTGTGTGTAAGTAAGAGTGTAAATAATGCTGCTCTTGTATGAACCGACCAGAACCTATTTTTTTTTTTTTTTTTTTTTTAGGTGTCACGGTCACTGATTTGTTTGACGATTAAAAATTGAAATAACAACAGTATCAAGCGGCAAGTTGAACAAAGATTTTAATAACGATTTTTTTAAAATCAGTAACAATTTCGATTTACACCTGAAATAGTTGCTTCAATCAACATAATTATTACAAATTAGTTTTATTTAATTTTCATTGCAAGTAAGTAATTATTGTATAAAGACTGAATTAGACAGTAATCCATATTTATGTGGTAGCGTAGACAAAACCCCTATTTCTCTCTCACGCGCGCGCACACACAGACCCTCAACACTAACAGACATACAATAAAATAATAATTATCGATTAAATTGACATTGATATACGTGGTCGTTGTAAAAAATATTTGAATACTAGTTTTATTCTAGGTACCAGTTTGAGGAGGCTCATTATTAAAAACTTAATTGCAAACTTATTTACCAAAAAGAAAAAACTTAGTGTTGTTGTTATTGTTACTTTGTGTCATTTCAGTGTGCTAAAAAAAAAAAGGTTGACTTTTTTTTCTTTTTTTTTTTTTTTTACATCCACTTGAAATTTGTATTTTTCTGTAGATCGAGCACTTGCAAGTATAGCTCCATGACAACTGGTCAACGTTGTTTTTCTTGCCAAGTTTATTAGTTTCCACTCCAGTAAGAAAAAAAAGAATAACAACACAAATAGCCCTTACCCCTTGCGGCCAGTCTAATTCTTGTGTAAAGTCCACAGGTTTATCTCTTCGTTTTCTAAGTAATCATGTGACCAAAAAAAAAAAAACCTATATCTTTTTCTGCGCAGTGTACACGACAAAAAAAAAACTCTTTGTCTAGTTTTTGGCTTCTCTTATTATTACTGGGCTTTTAAAATGTTAACGTTGTTACCGTGGCTTTTAGTAATTAATTCTCTCTTCTCGTTTTGTTGATGGTCTGGGCGATTCGGTAGAGATCGTATGCCGTCAGGCCTCGCGAAAACAAGGGTCTCTCTCATGCCGACGTAAAATGTATTGGTAGTAACTGCCACTCCTCCTTTCATTGTTACACCTCCTGCCACCGCCACCCAAACGCCAAGTTTTGTCACACCTCCTCGATTTCTCTTCTCCTGCTACTGCCATTCTTACTGTCACACCTACCTCTGTGACTGCTACTGTCACTGCAACTTTAGTGTTTAATTCCTGCTTCGGCATCCCCCCTCTTTCTACGCCGCCTACTCTTACTACTTCTTTTACTATTTCCTTCCTCATCTCCTCTCACTTTCAACTCCTCCCATTGCTATCAACATTACTACTACTACTACCACTGAAATTAACAACACTATCAGTTGTAGTAATCATATTCTTTTTATTCGTAGTAGTAGTAGTAGTAGTATATCTGATGCTGTTACTACTACCATTACAACTACTATTGTGTGATAGGAGCTTGACAAACCAAAAACGAAGTCGTAACGAACGGGCGGACGTGAAGACGAAGAAAAACGAACAGTTATACACAATAACACTTCGTTAAAATAAGTTTTTTCAGCTCTTTAGTATCCACAGAGAGAAGACCTCTATTTAAGCAACATTTTAAAAAAAAAACCGTCTCATTACTTTCTGATGTGTTATTATTTTCGCGTATTTATATGTAGACATTTATACTATATATGTATAACCCCCCTAGTGACTACTACTGCTACTATCGTACCCTACCAGTAGAGTAGATGTAGTAGTAGTAGTAGTAATGACAGTAACTTAGTAGACACTTTTCCCCTCTTGTATACATCATTCATTTGCTTCTCTAAGGTTATTGTTTGTAACGTCACCTACAATTATTAAGTGTGATCTTTTTTGCACTGTTTTTTTAAATTTAGTGAACTTATTTAATTTCCTTATTTTATTTATTTTAATTTTAAATACTTTTTTTTTCTGACCTGCTTTCAAGAAACTTGTCAATTCGCGATCATTTAGAAAATCGTTATCGATGAATAAGTTGTCTCTAAAGAAAGATAGATGTTGACAAATATCTAGAGAGAACTTTATTAAAAATAATTCTTTGAACTTTTTAAAAATTTGAATGGAAAGACCTTGTTACTACTTCGCTGAAAAAAATCGAAACGTTTCCGCCTTCTTTAATTTTTTTTGTTGTTGTTTGAAAGAAACAAACAAACAAAAAAAGAAGCAAGTTCTACACTCGCCTAATTTTTAATCTTCATCTCCCACCCAACTGTGATTCCTTAAAAAAAAAACTACAACAAACAATACTTATTATCTATCACTTCCAACGTCTATCTGTCTACAGCTACAGCAGCAACAGCAGCACCATCACCGGACCAACTTGAAGAAGTTCAAAATACTTCAACTTAAAAACGATCTTATAATCACCAAATTATTCCTCGTACCAATTTTGACACATACGTTCTTTTTTGTGTGTGTGTGTGTGTATTTTTTTTTCTACATCTTGCCATCTTGACCATTGTTTGTAACCACCTCGTGATAACCCTCGAAGTGGACTGGTTTGTTCCCTTTTCGTCACAGAGATCACCCAGGGGACACTTTTATCTTAAGGAACAGACCCCAATCCAGGACGGCGGTCTCCGTGTCTTTACATGCTGGCCCCCACCAGCAAAGATTATAGCTTACTATTTACGACATGAGTAAGAAGGTGAGTTCATACTCTACTGACACTCGAATTAATGTACCTTATTGTAATTTGTTTTGGGAATAAGTGATGCGTTAGTATCACTCTTGTTCCGATTTCGTCATAGTGGTGATAAATGTCGAATTTTATGTCTGCACTCTCTTTGATAATTATCTTGTGACTTTTCCCCCCACCTTTTTTGTTGTTGGAGCAAGTGATGAGAAATGATAAAAATCGTTTACATAAGTAAATAAATAGATTTGTCTCTCAGATAAATTTATCTTTTTTTTTTTTTCGTCTTCGAAGGTGAACGGCGAACTTAAAGTTTAACTGTTTTAGCGACAAGATCTAAAACCTGAACCTTAAAAAAGATTAAACCATTTTTAGTTTTTATTCGTTTGTGTATGTACAGCCAGAAGAAAAGTTTTTGAGTTTTGATCTTTTTTAAATTAAAAATAACGTATGACTTCAGTTCGTTTATTTGAAAAACTTAATCAAACAAACGTAACAAGTAGTATTTTTTTTGTGTTATTTTCATTTTTTATTTAACTTATTTCCCATTTTCAATAAGATTTCTTCTGGTTGAATTACATAATAAATTTTGTTTTTATTGTTCTTTTTTGTTCTACTTTGACTAGTTGCGCAACATTTTTATTTTTAATTGAGATCGCACGTTGTGGGGGAAAAATAACTTTGAAACACGCCTTTGTTCGTTTATTTATGTCTTTCTTCAGAATTAGCACACCCACACTAATTTTTCGTATATGAATTCGCTAGAGATGGATAATAAAAATTCCAACTTTTTAAAAATTGATATTAACCACTTTTCCTTTAAAACGAAAACACGCACGCACGCACAAAAACCATGCTGGCTGCTGATAATGGCCGAATTAGCAAAAAAAAGTTTTTTCGAAAAAGCACGTGCTCTGTCTTGAGTCTCTTACCATTAGGGCATAAATGTAATTGTTTGTATACATACTTAATTGTATATTACGCTTTTCTCGATCTCTTGAAAAAGTTTACATTTTTTTCTGTTTCTGCGTGTAGTAACATGTTCACTATCTCGCCACAAAGGGCGTAGAAACTTTGAAATTAGGACTTTTAAAAAAACAGTTTCCATCAAAAACAAGTGAAAAACTTAGTTGATTGGTTGTTTGTATAACTTTATCCGCGTTCTTTGTTAGGAAGACGTATCGCCTTCTTAAAACATTGATTAGTTTTATTTTTAAGTTTTCCAGAGAAACGTAAATTATTTTTTCTTAATTGCAAATGTGGCCAAAAATAGCCTTTTATGATCTTTTGATTTATCATCTCATTGTAATAATCTATTTTCAACTCTTAGTTTTCTCCTCCTTTGTTTCTTATTTAATTGCCAATTAAGTTTTTTGTTTATTTAATTCTTTTGATAATAATTTTTCTTATGAAACTTCATTCACTTTTAAATACTTGCTAAAAATAATAATTTTTGTTCTGGAATGAAAGAGAAAGAAGAAAAAAAACTACTACTTGCACCACTACCCCTGGTAGTGGTACTTTACATTTATTGTTAGTTGATTTCATTGCTTTGTAATTATAGTGGTACAACCGTACCACTAACTGTTGTTGACTTACAGATCATCAAACATACATTTTACAACTCTATTTATTGCTGCTTAGTCGCTAATGACAACAAACATTTTGAACTAAGAAATAAACAACTTTAGTTTACTTACGATCATTCACACAATTATTAATCAAAATTTGGGTGTAATGTTTTTTTTTTTTTTCATAGTATTAACTAAAAAAATATCCTATTTTCTTAAGGGTGTGGAAACTATTTGTTTTCTGTTGCAATGACCTTTCCGAACATAACACGTTGGTTGCAACGAACTTTACAAGAGGGCGCTAAAAAGTTTTGTCTGATCCCCCAAAAATCCTTACAAATAATTTTTTAAATTGGTCATTTTGGGAAGTGGGTCGGGCCAATAACTTTTCTCAGTTTTCTGCACCCTCTCTGTATATAAGTCGTTTGAGTTTCTTTCTTTGTCTTACCTACAAACAAAAGAACTCATGGCCTTTTGCATTTTTCTCTCAAACTTATCATTTGCCATTGTGTTTTCAAAACTAGTGTTGGGCCTTTTTTTTTTAAAACTTAGTTTTTACTCTTTAGTTTTTACTTTCTTTGTTTCTTTTAAATGTCCTTTGTTAGTATCCTGTCCCTGTCAATAACTCGGGGTTTGTTACTTGTTGGGTTCTCTTTGTGACTGTTACTTAAAAAATAGTTAAGCTCTTAGAGATCGACGGAAAAGTTTGTCTATAAAATCGCAGTTTGAGTTAGATTCACTTGGTTTAATTTTAAATTCAATTATTTCATAAGAAATAACCTAATTGTGAATTTTTTGCGTCATTGACCAGCAATATTAGCTTTACTCAGCAATCTGTTCGAGAACCAGTTGATACTGAATTTATGTGTGTCTTTCTTTTTAAATCAAGATTTTAAAAATTATTAAAAAATAAAAATGTATGAAACTTTGTTTAAAAGTGCATAAAGCTTGTTTCTTTTTGTTTTATATTTCAAGATAGTGATGTTTGTTGTAAAAGTTTTTTTAACTTTTGAGTTTTTGACATTAATTGGGGTGGTTGATTTTATTTTATTGAAAATCTAAAAGTATTTTCAATCGAAGTTATTGTTTTCGTTCCTTGTGGCCATGTTTTACTTTGTTTTATAAAAACAACTCTTCACTTAGCGGTGACATTGGGAAAAAATCAGCATGAAATTTTAGTTTTTACGGTAAATTTAGGTTAAGGTGTGCGTTTCTTTTTCTTTTCTTCGTAGTAATCATTTGGTTGGGAGGAAGAACTTGCATAGCTCTTTCAACCTCTTCAGCTTCTTAGAGACTGCAAGTGCAGTCTCTAAACATTTAAAATGTTTTGTAAATAAATCATAGAAGTTGTTTTCATAGCTTTCAAGATTTATTTTTTTAATTTTCTTTTTATTTAGAGAGTTTTTCTTGTTCTTTAATATTGTCTAATTTCAACTGTGCAACATGTTTAAACTTTTTAAAGTTTTTCGCTTAGATGCAAGTCACGTCATTTTTCTTCTTCCTTCAACTCAGCAGCACAAATGTTGCGATTATCATATTGTTTTTTTATTTTTTTAAATTTCCAAAGTGTATATTTTTTTTCTAATTTAATTTTATTTTGGCAATAAGTTTTTACACTGTCAAAATTAAAGTGTATTATTTGCAATGTGTGGTATGTTGATAGAAAAAAAGTACCTTAACTTTTTTCTTTTAAAATTTCGTGACTCACTCATTGTTTTGCAATAACAGCATTCCTCCTACGCGAGTCTTTTCCATCTCGGATTACGTTTAACAATTTCGCATACTTTAAGTTCTAGAAAACTTGATACAAATTTGTTCATACCGCATAACATTCCATTTCTAGCGCCCATGGTAACGAAATCCACATATCCACTAGTGTGTGTGTGGCTCACCTATTAATAAACAAAGACATTATTCATGATCAGTAAAGTCTTAAGAAAATATTTTAAAAATAAAACTTAGATTATTTCAATTATTTTTCTCTTTTTGGAGTAAAACTTATCAGTAATCAATTTAGAGAATGTTAGAAGTTTTTATGATGGGCATCATGGAATTTATTAGTAAATAATTATTTAATTAAGAGAGAATTTCTTTCTAACTCTATATTTTATTAAATTGAAATAGCTTTTGTTTACCTTACGACAAAAACTTTCCTTACAATAGAAACCAATCCAGAATGATATATATATTGAGTTATTTATTGTCATTACTGATTAGAGAAATATAGAAAAATTCATTTATTTTTAAAATGATAGTTGGGACTTGATAAATTTTTGTTCAAACTCATTCTCTTGAATGATTTCACTTTGTCATGAACAAAAGATGATACATTTTCTGCTTTCATAAATCATGCAAATTTCAGTCTTTTCAGAAATAATAACAATAAGACATGTCCTATTGATAAATAAATGACTGATATCTTTGTCATGATTGAGCAAGAAATGCTTGGTGATCAGTTTTACCATTCTGTTTTCAAGAGCCTTTTGAAAAATCATTTTGCAGAGTTTAAAAATGTAACTTTAGCAACATTAAGGCCTAACTTTTCAGAACTGTAAAAGACATAAAAATAATGTCTAAATAGTGGGTAGGGGAAGTGAACCAATATGTCAGATATTTGACAATATTTTCTTTAAAATTAAAAAAAAAAAAAAATCCAACTAAATAATATTAGATTTCTTAACAATCGTAAATTTTGGAAAAAGTTTCCAGTTAACAAATAACTATCATTTTCCATGCAGTATACAACTTTAATGCAAATGATGGAAGAATCTATACACAAGCAATTGCAGCTAATTTATAGGTGAAATAGCAGAGTTGACTATGTCCTCTAGCTTTGGATAGCAACTAGTCTAAGAGAAGGAAAATTCTGAATTCCAAACCATGGAGTAAGTAACCGGAAAAACCATTCCATTATTTTTCCCAAGAATGAAAATTGACAGATGATAAAGAAAAGGAATCTGTAGTTGTGACTGCCTACATCCTGATGAAACATATTAAAAAAATCTCTCTAATAAGTTAGATCTGAAAAAAATAAATTGTTATTTTAAATTGAATTATTGGAGAAGTATAAATTCATCTCTCCCCACCCCCTAGCTATAGGTAAAACAGCAGGGTAGACTAAGCTCTCTAACCTTGGATAGCAACCAGCCTAATAGAAGAAAAACTTTGAATCGGAAACTAAAGAAGAGAACAGGAAACCATTCCACTTGCTTTCTGAAACTGTCACAGAAATTCATAGATAATAAAGAAAAGGAATCTGGAGTCATAATAACCTTTGTCATGAAGACACATGGTAATTTTTAAATTAAATATCAATCTGTAATTGTTTAAATCTTTTTTGATTTTACTTTATTTTTTTCTTTGAACACTACTTAGAAAACTGTTGGCATGATAGCAAATTCAAATCATCACAACAGTTACAGGAGTTTTGCCAAAGTTCCA